AGATCCCAATATCCAGCTCCGACACAATCGCTCCAGGTGCTCCCAGTAAGCCATCACCAGTGGATTCTCATGCAAGCCAGAGAACGACCGACGCATCCACACCATGTGCTGCTGCACCAGAAATGCCAGTGCCGAACTGTCTTCTTCCTCCAAGTGCTCCAGAAACTGCCACAGGTCATGTATGCGCAGTCCCGTAGACAGTCTCGCCGGCGGAGGCAGCGTGGGAAACGTCATGGCAGCACAGGCGAAGGTTAGGGGAGTTAAGGTCAGGGAAGTTAAGTACAGAAACGGTTCAGTTAGCACAGAGAGAGCCAAGCCCTGCTTCGTTGCTCCTCAGCCTCGGCCATGCGGGAAGGGACGGTGTCATCATCACCCCAGAGGATCAGAGGAGCAAGGCGATCAACCCGCCCACCCAGGCGGAGCCTATAATCGACATGGTACCACCTACCAGACGAGCCGGGGACCTAGCTAAACCGCTAGTCACCAACAACCTCGGAGTCTGTGGCGCTCGCCCTCTTTTGCTGGGCGGGGCCCTGGTCTGTGCACGGCGGGCAACACCTACGGTCGCTGAGCCGATACTGTACGATGTCACTAGTTTCGAGCATGCCGCGCCCCATCGGGCAAACAAGACAGATTACTGCAACAGCTCACTGACAGTATTCCCGCAGCACGGCATGTGTTTCATGAATGACATGCATCCAGGGGCGTTTGTACAGGCTAGCCTAAATTCAGCAAATTCTGACATCAAGAATTCTCATGCAAACATAAATTCACCATGCACGACCCAAGCAAGGCCACAGTTTCATGCAGGAACATGCAAGCAAATTAAAGGTACCAGCACATGCAGCTTCCATCGAGGTATCATAAATTCATCATGCACTTGCAGCATCAAGCAACTTCAGCACGTACAAAGCAGCAACAGCAGAAATACGTGACCAGATGGCTACGCAGTACATAGAAGAAGACATCCCCCAGTGCTGCTATCATGCATAGGGTACAGAAACCCCTTGACGTCCCAAAGGAAAAAGTGGGATACATGAAGGAGGGATCTTGAGGCTTCATGAGCATTCGTAGCCAGACAAAACAGTTCCCATCACACAAGCAAAGAGAAGAACCCTTCACCCCACAAAGCCTCGCAAATCCTCCTCACAAAAACTTTGCCTGGATCCATCACTGTACATCACCGTGGCTATGCCACCAGGCGCGGGCGCAGACTGATAGAGCGGACGGACAACCGGGGTGGGCACTCTGCTCTGCAAATCAATGACCTGAGGGGCCTGTCGCGGAGGCGGCTCAGTCGTCTGGGGTGGCACCCTGTACGGCGGCCTCTCCGGTGTCTTGTCTCTGATCTCCTTGGTCATCTCTGCCAGCTCATCGTGCGCCTCCTTGAGCGTGGCCAGGTGGCTTTCCAGCTCCTTGAGCATCTCGGCTTGCTGCAGCGTAGTGTCCACAAGCCTAGCCACACCTAGAGAGTCTATGGGAGGACGCGAGAAGGTGGCCACGATCTGAGCCATGGAACCCGCCAGACCATCTTGCACCGCCGCCAGGTGTTCGATGGTCTTCATCGTCTTCTGCTGCAGTGCCTGGCTGTCCTTAGCCAGTTGGCTTCCCTGGCCTTTAAGCAAGCCAACCTCCTCATAGATGCTGGTAGTCTTCGATCGCGTGAGCTGCTCCAGCTTGTCCAGCTTCTCTCTGCTGGCTTCCACCGTGGACTTGATCTGACCCAGGTTTTCCTGGACTTCCTTTGGCACACCCCCGCCAGTGGTAGCTTTGCTAGCTTCCAG